GAACCCTAATTCCCTGAGGTCTAAAATGGCAAAGGTTGACTTCTCACTCATGGCCCATCTTTAGCAGATTTGGCAGCTTCCCTGGGAGCTTTCCTGCAGGTGATTCAGGTTTTCAGACCACTGACCTACAGCTCTCCCGATGTTGAAACACTTTCCTTCTTGGCAAAGAGGAGGAAGGGAGTGTGGAGAATATGCATCACACTGAATTCCTGGTACAGAAAGATTTATCATTTCCCACATTCTAATGGGAAAGCGCATGGCTTCTACCCAGAAGCAAAGGAGACTGGAAAACTTAGTCTTTCTGTGTGTTCAAAATTTTTCACTTCCAGTATAGAAGAGCTGATCACAAGGCTGTCTTTCTAAGATAAAACAAAGATCTTATGTGGTATTCAGATATTATGTCTATGCTGCACTTTCAAACTCTACTTGCTAAATATAAGTGGAAATCCAGTGCATGACAACAATACTCTACTTTTTCACGGAACATTCTTGTGAGTTTTAATGATTCTGAAGTCTATGGTGACACAATGCCAGAGTTCAAATCCTAGCTTTGTCAGTTTTTATTCAGCTTATATTAAGCAGCATAAATTCTATATACTCTGTCTCCACATGTGAAAACCATGGGTAAGGATGATACTATGACTTCATAGTGTTCGTGGGGATATATTACATGGACAGTACCTTCATATTCTCTAGAAAGCAATAAGGACTCAAAGAAATATTATGGATTAATTCCTGACAGGGTGTGCTTCTTATATCACTTTTTTTGGAGTGGAACACAAACAAATGAGTTTAAGAGTTTGGAATTGTAGGGTCCAAGTGATTAAGGTGAAAGAAATCTATTTTGTTTGTTCTTCCAATTTGTCTAGTGTTTAAAATGACAATATTAATGACAAGCCTTTATTTCCTAGCTTCCAATTATGCAAATGCTGATTTTCTTTCAAGGCCTTTGTGATTTGGGGTGAAGGATTTCTGTAGCACCAGCAAGCCAACCAGATGGGTGAAAGTTAGATCTATGCTTTGTCATGTTTAAGGAGTGGGTGTGTTCAGTGAGAGTACTAGGATGACTCTGTTTTACTAAGTCTATGAAAAACCTTTAGGTGATTGATGTATCAAGGGAAAGTTGGACTTCTTTTGTATCTTGTTTTTCCAAGAGCAGACTCTAATATGATGTTGACATGTTATTGAAATACAGAATAACAGGAAGTGTAGTAATCAAGGAAAGGGAAGTCAAGGAAAGCTATTGAACTAAGTTCAATATTCCAGTCCCTTAAAGGTGACCCGGGCTCAGTCCCACAAGGCATTCATGGTGACAGTGGAAGTCATGCTTTTTACTGCATCAGGGCAGGTGCTCTAGGATAGCTGTATTTTGCCATTTCACATTGGCTAGCCCTGGAGAGAGGACGGCTTGCATTCCCACAGACAGTGCCTCATTGTGCTGTTATCATGCAGTCAGTTAGTATGAGGTCCTGAGGGAGCCCTCTGATTGATGTTGTTGGAACAAAGACATGCTGGAGGTTGAGAGACGTGAGAAGGATAAAGGGGTGCTGTGGAAACATCAGTAAAAATGAGTAACTGCCAGATTTATCCTGTCTGTAGGGACATCTCATTTCTGGGAAGAGAGAAGTCAATGCTAGCCAGTGATGAGGTGGGTTTCTCAATACCTGCTTTGACTCTGGGATTCAATCAGCAGGTTCATTCTTCAGGATTATGAATAGATATTGAATACTTATATTAAAATTTGTCCTATAAACTCATGAAGAAAGTGATGAATATATAAATCAGAGAAGAGGTTACAGCATCACTGATTATAAATGACATTAGTTTACACATGGGAAAAACTAACGATTCACTCAGAAAACTGGTAGAACTAAAAATGAACTCAATAAAATTACAAGGTACACAGTTGAGATAAAAAATAATTTTCTTTACATTTTAAGCTGCATTTATTTGTGTGTGTGTGTGTGTGTGTGCGTGCGCGAGTGCGTGTATTGGTGTGGCTTGTGCTATGGGGCACATGTGAAGGGTAGAGGGTAACTTGCAGGAATGGGAAGTTTCCTTCTATCATTGGGACCTCAGGTCATCAAGTGCTTTTATCTGCTGAGCCATGTCTCTGTCTTAGCTGCTCTATAATAAAACATTATCAAAAATTTTGAGAAATAATCTAATAAGGTAATCCATTCACAGTGGCTACCCAAACCTATGATGCCGTGGGATGAAATTTCCAAGGAAAGGGATTAGATTCTTTACTGAAAGTTGCAAAAGACTAATAAAAGAAATTGGGGAGGGCACAGAAAAATAAAATATCTATTACTTTAGATTAGAAAACCTAAGTTTATATTCTACAAAGCAGTCACTGCCATTTGGAATATTCCTGTCAAAAAACTCATCATGCTGTCTACAGAAATTAAAAAAAAACATTTCCAAAATTTATATAGAACCATGAAAGTTCCCAGTTAGCCAAAACAATTCCGGGCAAAACACCAAAACTCTGGGGATTAATTCATCCGACTTTATAATGTCAAATGGCAGCATAACAAAACCCACACAGCATATCATTGTTCTAAAAACTGATACAGGGGCCAATGGAGCACTATAGAGAACTCAGAGATAGTTCCACATACTGCAAACAAGTGAATTGTAGACAAAATCAACAAGAGTCACATTGGGCAAAGGAATTCTTTTTTATTTAAATGGTATTTGTATATACAGATGTTCTTGGACAATAAAAACTAAGTATCAGCATACACATACAAAATTAAGTAAATATAAATAAGTAAATGAATGAATGAATGAACTTAAAATGGACCAAATACCTAAAGATAACAAAACTGTGAGGTTCTCAAAGAAAATACAAGTGAAATGTGTTTGTATGTTGATGTTGGCTTTTGGGAGGATGTGCTCCCCAAAATACCCACAACACATATATATCTATATTTATATGTATGTCAGTATATACATACATATGTGTAAATACATATTTGTATGTGTATCATACTTTGTATGTATGGGATAGACTATATATATACACACAAATCTGCCAGATGTCATTCACAAATGTAAAGTACACTAAAAGTATACTACACTTATGGAAGAATGTCTCCTAAAACCAATCCTGAGCTGCAGCTGAATTACATTCACTAAGTCTTCTCTGTAGAATCAGTAGCTCTTGCTACAAACAGGTTTGTATTCTTATCCCTGTCTTCACCATTTTGGCTGAGGAATCTGGTAAGTACCCCAATGCCTTATCTTTTAGTGAATTCATCAACAGAGCCAATGATGTTTACCCATGGGGGTCTGATAAGGTTTAAGTAGTGTCTATAGAAATACTGCCTCAATGCTGTTATTTTATTCCATAGGAGCAGAATTTAAGGCAGAAAGGTAAACGTGTCTGTCACGTTGTGTGGAAAGAATAGAGATTATGTTTACTCTACAGACTCCTCTAGCACAGTGGTTCTTAGCCTTCCTAATGCTGTGAATCTTTAATACAGTTACTCATGCTATGGTGACCCCCAAATGATGTGCTTTGATACTTCATAACTGCAATTTTGCTACTGTTATGAATAGTAATGTACATGTCTCTATTTTCGGATGGTCTTAGGCAACCCCAAGATTCGTGACCCATGGGTTGAGAACCACTGCTCTAGCATGCAAACTTATTATTCCTATAGAAGGTAATGTTGACCGGTGCACAGCTATAATCTCAGCGCTCTGGACGTGGAGGCCGCTAAAAAGTTCCTGTCATTGATTTGTTGCTGTTGTTCCAGCATCCCACTTTTAGCAACTTGGCCTTATGAAATCTTCCATTTTCTGTGCCTTGTTTCTCTCTGCTGCCAAGTGTGAGCATTGGGGTATCTGGCCACAGAGTCCCTCCCAGCTTCAACTGCTCGGGGTTGCAGGAGAAACTCATTCAGGGGCCAGGGATTTTGACTGCAATGTGTGAATGGTGTGCCATACATCTGCTCCAATGTCAAACCATCACATAGCCTGGCTGTCAGTTTCACTTCCTTCTCTCTAGTTTCTGGTTAGAAATGGAGTTTATTTGTTTCTTTTGAAGTCTGTTTTCAATCATGAGACCTGGGTTTTGGTCATGATTAACTAAGCCGAGATTCTATCGAAGGTTAGAGATACTGAGCGTGTGAGGGAGGCAAAGCTGCCAGAGTCAAGTATAATACCGTGCAGCGAACTGCTCTTCCCGGGAGTCCTGGAAGGTTACAATGCCACTGTTGAATAGCTCTTTGAAATACTTCACTAAATTACTCTGTTGGGTAGCCCTTATTAAGCAATCTGCTTCTAAAAGTTCTTTATTCCACAGACTGGCAAAGACTCACCATTTCATTATGCCGGGGGCTTGGTGGTGTCTCTTTTGAGAGATTTGTCTGCCTGGAGAGTGGCCTGTTTTACCTTCCTTGTTGGGTCTTGATGAGTGCCCCTGAACGAGGGGGAAACAATTTGTACAACTCTTCCAGTCAATTGGAGGCTGAACCGTGGTACTGAACAAAGCACTGTTCCATCCCACAGTGCCAATTTGCCCTTATCAAGTGCAACAGAGAGAATGTGGCGGTGGTGTGTTACAGCGAGAACAGGAAAGCACTCTAACGAAATGAGAAAACAGTTATTGGAGTCGTTTTATCAACCGAGAGCTAGCTCTGTGGTAATTTTCATACAATTAAGCTATGTTAGGATCGCCTTGCCATATGGCTAGACATTGATCATTTTGCTGTGATGTTAACTTAATATGTAGTGTGCATGTTTGCTTATTTTGTTAATAAAATTTTCACCTTGGTGTTCTGATTCTATCATGGAATGTGTGAGCATTGACAGATGTTTTAATAAAAAAATCTTTAGCATTTGTAAAATAAGAGTCTACTGCATGAATCCAGTGTATTAGAACTTTCAAAGAAACTTGAGGAATCTCGAAGGGGAATTATCTCATCCAATCTGCAAGAGGAATCACTGAGGCTAAGTGTTTTCTAACTTGCTGTTTCCTTCGGTCAACGCAGTATGGTCATCCATCAAGTCAGGACTTATACCCAGTATCTGTGCCATATTCCTGGGGAGCTTCACTTGTAACCTAGGCAAACGTCCTGCCCACTTTCTGAGACCAGAAACAAGTGAATGTGAGTATGAGAAACAGATGTAAAAGAGTCATAGGAAAGCTAAATCACATGCTGAGATTTTCTGTTATTTCGTTATGCTTCCGAGAACTTGTGGGAGGGAGACTATGCAAGCCTCTCAGAGTTCCCTATAGAAGAGAGGGTACAGAATTGGGGAATTTCATCCCTGGTCCTGATAAAGCAGTTTCACTGACACACATCTTCAAATACTGGCTTCTACTGGACAGTATGCTTTATGGCAAGTAAGCCCCTAGTAGAACATAAAGCTTAAAGCACACAGTCACATTTAATCCATTCTCTTTTTAAGCACACAAACCTCCAAACATTACAGAAGTCATAGGTCCTATACAAAAGGTAAAAATATCTGTCTATGAAAGCCCTGTTTTGACCCTTTCCATTCTATTGACAGGGTTAATTGATCAACATGATGGCCGCAAAAGTGTTGTTATGGTTTAGGTGCACTTAGGTCCACCTCCCATATGGTTTTGGAAGCTGAAGGTGTACAGTAGATGAAAGTATTTAATTTTCTACAAAACAAAATAGGCTGAAACTGTGGAAGTAAAGGAGAGGAGTAATATCTAAGCATTGAAAAACTTTGCAGACTCATTCTTAGTAACATTTAAGTCTTTTGTTGGAAGATTAATGTCCAACTCCCTGTTTATCCCCACTGTCTCTGTGTTTCTTGGTACAATCTTGCCCACAACAAACTCATTTTGCACCATTACAAAAAAACACAATGTAAATCTGAGTGAGTGACTTCCCTGCATGAAACTCACTTTTCACATGCCACTGTAGGTATCAACCTAATATATTAGTATGGTTCCCCTTTCTTCACAGATGCTGCACTATAGTTTGACCTCCTATAGCCCCTGGATGGACATGTTCTGACTATAACTTTTATGTTTTCTTCCTTATATTTATCCTTTTTTGTTAAGGTTTTTTTAGATTTTTCCTTTTTATGTAGACTCCTTGGCATGAGAAATCCCCTTTGTCTGCAAGATACTATGCTGCTTCACCTAGAAAATGTATGTTTCAAGACTTACCTTAAGAGCCATCTAAATCAGGAGCTTTCTTGAAAACACCAATCCATCATGGGTTAGATAATATTCTCTAAGAACTTTTGTCCAGAACTTGCTATGTTCTATCTGAATCTACACTCATGATCATATATCTCCAGATAGTGAATTCTTTGTTTTTAGGGCAGGACTTGTTTTATATTTTTCTATATTCCTATAAAACCTTCCAAATGTATTGTTTATATTTAAGGTTCTCAACAAATAATGTTGAACTTAAATGTTTCTGTTTTTGATTCCAGTTATTAGTTAAAAGGTTTTGGCTGAAAGCTTTTTTTAAACACTGTATCTGACCCCACCCCCACAAGGCTCAGCAGTTCTTGAAGTAGAAGATGGGAGGTTTGCTAGAGTGAGGGTTTAAGGAAGACCTGAGCAAACCGATGTCTTCTGGAAATTACATGATCATGTACCCATGAATTCATAGCAGCTGTGGTTACCTGCACAGAATCAAGCCAATCAACAAGCCAGCATGAAATGGGGTCTTGTGAGACCCTACTTCTAGCTCAGAAGCTATGGGCAGTTGACAGCTTCTGAAGGAGGGTGAGTATTCTTTCAAGGGATATATAAGTGTGTGTGTGTGTGTGTGTGTGTGTGTGTGTGTGTGTGTGTGCGTGTGTGTACAAAGTTGAAAGGTTGGGGATTTGATCAGGGAGGAGTCAGGTTGGTGAAAAATGGCTATAATAAAATTACATGTTATACATGTATGAAATTCTCAAAGAATTAACAAAACACTATATGAAAAGAAAGAATTGAGTATCTCTATTTAGGGATGATGCATATACAATTAAAGCTTATTAAACTCTTTCATTTAAAGCAAATGTATAAGTAAATAAATAAACAAATCCAATGAAGAGCAATAGCCCATCATAAGGGATGGCAATAGGGACTAAGGCAAATGCTACCTTTACCCATCTATTAGGTCTATTTGAGGAGCAGAGTTTGTGAGTTGCCCAGACACCTTAAAAAGTTCCAGCCTTAAAGGAGGAGGATGGACCTGATAAGACACCCCATTCCCTGTTGCTAGCCCAGCAATTTCCCCACACAGGACTGTCACAGTAGAGAGAAAAACAGAATGCTGTAGTCTAGGAAGTTTTTGAAAAACTCTTAGTTAAATGACTTCAGATTATGTTTCTTTACCATCAAACTTCCTGATGACTTTAGCATGCAAATGTGATTCATGGAATGAAAAAAAAGGAGTCTATAAACTATTGGATTCTCTGAAAGTGGTTGACCAGGGAAACATTCTTTCCCAAGACCCATCTTAATGTAGTGGAGTTCTATGGAATATTCCTTAATCCTTGTAGAACACTGAAGTAGCCTAATAATAATTATCATATCCAAGTTGCAAAGAATATGCTACACGCCACTCAGTAGGAATGCTGCTTCCTGGACCATATATAGGAGTTTTTCAGGGGCTATAAATTCCTTCCCTTCTTTTCCTCTTCTCAGTAGGTATGAATTGTGATTTCCCCAGTGACCATTGTTCGGGTGGAATTTTCTTTCTCTGTTTCATTTTAAGCTTAATTAAATGGCTGCTGTGGCTTTTAACAGATTCAACTTAGGATGTACACACAAGCTCCTCATGAATAATTGTTTCAGTGAGCGGAAATGGGAAGCAATAATTGTTCCCAAAGCCACAGCGCGACACATTTCTATGGTGTCTATGATGACAGAGGCAGAGCCATTTTCTCTGCTTTTCTCTTAAGTACTTGTTGGGCTCTGGGCCATGGGCTGGCTGCATATTGTTGATACCTAGATAAGTAAGATCAGGATTTTGGCTGAAGTAGCTCAGAGTTAGTGGAAGATACCCCTGTGTTGCATCATGGGATAGCTTTGTAATGTGTTGAATGCTTGGCTGGTGCAGATAAATGATATAGATTTGATGCCGAGAAAAGCAGGACTTATGGGGAATATTCACTCAAAAAAATGGGAAACTACTGTTGATGAAAGGGTTAGTATTTTTGATGGAATTAGGAAAACATGTATGTAGGAGTGAGAAGAAGGGTCAAGAAAACTAGGACCTATGTTAATGATTGATAGAGAAACTGAAGACATGTGCCCAGGCTTGGGGACTGAAGAAAAAGGGCTACAAGGTTAGGAGATAGAGAAATTTCCATGAAAACATGGCAAAAACTCCCAGATACTCAGCAGAAAGTCTAACAAAATGATTCTGTCATTGGTTCAAGTTTAGTGTTCCATATCAGGCTCTTGAGTAGACATGATGGGGCCTCAAAGATGACAATGTGAACTAGCAAAGATTATTTCTATGACTTTCAAGGAAAACCTTAGATTTAGCTACTTGAAAGTGTTAAGCTGCTATTACTCAAAAGTGTGTAAGATGTTATCACTCTGGAAATGGGAACATTTTTTTTCAGGAAAAATACTTCAAAACCAGAGAATAAAGACAAACGATGGGAAGTGAAAGGCATCTTTGACTGACAATGGTTTTGCAAACAGTTGTAGTGGATCTTCTTGCAAGAAAGCAAATCTGTCCTTGGGAATAAGGAGACCTATGATTCCTACTGAATTAGAAGACTAAGCAGCTGTGGGATGTTGCAAACATCGTTCTGCTCCATGACCACCTGGAGTTACTTGCTCAGTGTTTGATTAAAAGACCCTGTGACTTCTTACAGAGAACCGAAGTCCCTGCCATGCCTCATGTGAGATAACAGACACTACTGTTCCTTCTTACCACACTGAAAATGCACATGCTCCCTATTAGAGTTCTCCTTATTGGAAGGTGTGTATGTCTGTGTCGACATTACAAGCCAAGAAGGAGGAGGAGGAAAGAAGAGGTTGAGACCAGAACTCATTATACCTTCAGCTTCCCAAATTACAAAACCAGGCTTGAAGTCAAAATTCATTTTCTGAGCCTTTTTTTCCTCCTGGAGAAGGTATGCTTAGCAAATGCATTTCCAATAATGGTTATATTCTCATAAGACTTTGCCATGCACATAGATACAGACTCTGAGATGCCAATCTTGAATCTGTCTTTGGCAACTCTTTCCTTACTTAGAGAACCCGGGTTTAAGGACATGGTGAAAGTGTGAGCATACCAGGACCTACTCCAAAGGGTGGCCCACATGACAAAGACCTGGTGTCTGTGTTCAGTAGCCATCCCATTCTTGTAACTTGCACAGCCCTTTGTCACATACATTGGATGCAGAGCCTGGGCCACTAAAGCCTTGAGAGTATCTGAGTTCCTGTCTCCTCCTTGGTATATCCCTTTCTGTGTCCAGCCATATCACTCCTGCCTCCACCTCCCTAGTGCTGAGATCAAAGGCATGAGCTCTGTTATTCTTCATTCTTGTTTAGGCCAGAGTGGCCTTGAACTTAGAGAGATTCATCTGCCTGTTTCCTGAGTCCTAGGATTAAAGGTGTGTGCCACCACTGCCTCCTGGCTCTATGGCTTACTAGTATGACTTCTGGAATTAACGTTGTGTGTCACCATTGTGTGACCTCTATGACTTTGCATTCCTGAACCCTCAGGCAAGCTTTAATGAATCATAGATAATATATCATCACACCCATGATCAAACATTGGGCTGAGCTCTGGGAGTCCTGCTGAGGAGAGGGAAGATGGATTGTAGGAAACACAGGGGTCAGGAACACTGCACGAAAACTCACAGGTAGCATTTCCCTGGCTCATAAGAACTCAAAGAGTCTGAACTAACAACTAAGGAGCCTGATGAGACCCACTTAGATACTCTGTATATATGTGACAATTGTGTAGCTGGATCTATATTTGGGAATCCTAACAATGAGAGCAGGGGCTGTCTCTGGTGCCTTGGGTAGTTCTTGGGAACCTATTCCTCATTCTGGGTTGCCTTGCCCAGCCTGAATAGGGGGAGGTGCTTAGTATTATGGCAGCTTGATATGCCATGCTTTGTTGGTGCTCCTTTCTGAGTGGATATGAAGGAGGGGTGGGTTGAAAGAGGGGGAAGAGGGGAAGAAGTAAAGGAGTGGGACAAGAGGGAGTAGAAGAGATTGGGGTCAGGATATAAATTAATAAAAATATGAATAAAATAATACATGTATTACCCTTTTATTTAAAACCATATAAATCCTTGTGATCTGACTGAATGTGTCTTTAGTCAAAGCCTGCATAACAAAATAAACAAAAAGGTTTTCTTCAAACAAAAATGATATTCAAAACAGTACTTGTAAATGAGAGTCTCAAAAAAATCACAAAAGTAAAAATACATAAGTAAAATAATATTTACTGTGAAAGCCCTCAATGATGAAGATGGCAGAGCTGATTGAAATTTTCAATTTGATTGTGAACCAATTATTGTGCTAAGTGATTTCCTATTCTCCTATTCTCCATATCCCACACGTCGTCAACAATGTGCCCACAGGGAGCTGTTGCTAAAGGTCTCCATAACTTCCTGAAGATCACACAGTTCTTCAGTAGTATTGAAATGATTTTAAATCAAGCCCTCAGCCACAGCCCAGCTCCCTTCTTGCCAATGCTGCATAAAGTCGCATGGCTTTATTGCAGCACTCTTTAAAGAGAACTGGAATGCTTGTTTGTCTCATTCAGGTTCAAGTCTGTCTGTGGGATCAATGACAGTTTACTAAGGGGCTGGGGTCAGAACTCATCTTTCTAAGTTCCTAACAACTCATCAAACGTCACTCCAGGTCACCTGGGGCTGCCTGTCTTTAGTAATGACAAAATCTATGACTTCAATTTTTTAATTAACTAAATACAATGAAGTCTCTAAATTGATCAGAGAAGGCTCTCCTATGGAATTAACTAGAAAAGTGGGGGGGAGGACTTGATGATTAATCCAAACTTCATAAACCTACTGAGAATTGTTAAAAAGCCCCAAATAAAATACAGTCCTACTTTTTAAAAAAATCAGATAAGGCTGTGGCATTTCTTCCTGCCTAAGAGAGACAGTCTCCAGGCAAATGGGAGGGATGCCTTAACTGGGAAGACTGAGTCCTGAAGGCACATCCCTGTGAGTAGTCCAGGATGACTGCAGCCCTTTACTTTTCTGGTTTGGACACACTGGAGGTGATAATTGTCCTATAATAGCACTTCTGTTACATTGATTAAGCCTGTTTCTTGGTAACAGTGGATTTAAAAATGCAACTAGAAAAAATGCAATTAGCTATTTTATTTTGTGTTCATAAATGCAAATTAGAGAGTTGATATAATTATGTAGAAAACAGAGGTTAATAAGTAGCAGTTGGGCTATAATTATCTGTCCGCTCCTGCAGAAGGGGAGTTTGGAGTCTACATTATCAGGGTAAGAGGCGAGGGCTGTGTGCCAGGTACAGGCTTCTAGTTTCATGTTTATTTTCTAACTGACTCCTCTGATCTCTGTCCCAGGAAGGACACATCACTATCTCTGTTTGCAGATAGGAACTCACAACTCAGAACAAAGCTATGTGTCAAGATCCAAAATGATAATACAGGCTGGATTCCACCTGGAATGTGCTGTTCCTCCAAAGTCCTCAGCTCTTTCTTTTCCTTAATTTTGTTTTATTACTATTTGGGCTTCAACAGATGTAATTTCAGCCTGAAATAGCATCTGCATTCAGATACAAATATGAGAAAAAGTTATTAAAGGTTATTTTTGTATTATGCAATTTTAACAAATATACTTCATCCAATCAAAAATAATTAACAAAATTCATACTCTATATAACTAAGTAAATTAGCTGATGTTCATAATGTTAGTTTTCATATCTCTACCAATAATTCAAAAGACCAAGCTACAAACTTGCTAATATTTACTTCTCAAAATTAAGAACTACCATAATCAATTTATAGTTGGAAAATTTTGTTAAAACATGACATTTAAGAGCATAGGGTATACTCTGAATGAACCTTAAAAATTTAATAACCTAATCTGTTTAACAGAAAAAAAATGTACCTTATTATTTGAAGTGATCAGACTTAAGACTCTATCTGACTTCACATTAAGTCTCCGACTTCAAAGCCTTCTACCTTTATGCTGGAACTGTTTTGCTTTAAAAAGAAAGTACGACACACATCTCTAAATTATAATATCCATGCATGACTAATTTACTCACTGATTCATACAAGAATGGAGGATGAATCTGAGGATAGCTGCAGCAAGAGTGACAAATAGATGTAAAATGCTTCCAAAGCCAGTGGTTACTTGGACCTCCACAATTTTCATTTAAGTCACTTGTTGGCCATTGGTGGCTTATGTTTCTTCATGTGGCCTTGCATAATATCACACCTGAGTCTACTGTGGTTTCCCTGCTCTAATTAGGCAGTACACATCCTGTCACTGTGAACCAATTTTTTCCAGTTTTTGATGATTAATCAGCACCTTCCAGGTGAAGGATGCAAATACAGCATTTAAAAAGATGTGACTACAGAGTGTGACTCAGGCAGGCCCAGACACTTTTGGTGCAACAGCGAATGGGGCAGAGGGAAGCCCACACAGAAAGATCTCTGTTTCCTGGAGTCTGGCTGGGTCCTGGACAATAATCACAGCTGGAGAAGCTGGCCTCAAGGGTATCTCATCACACATCTGCCCTTTTTTATCAAGTGAATGTGCAGATCTTCTCACACTTCCTAACCCTCAACTTTCTCTTCTTTAAACTGAGTAATGTCTTCCTTCCAGGCTCTGTGCCTTGCACTCCTTAACTGAGTTGCTGTTCCCTGATTCAAAAGAGCAGTTGGTTTGTTCCATACATGTGGCTGAGCATCCATCTGCATGAGATCCAAGTTTTTTGAGATCTGTAGGGAAGTTAGGGCACTATCCACTTCTTTGTATTCCACCTATACCTATACCTATACCTATACCTATACCTATACCTACACCTACACCTACACCTAAACCTATCCAATGGAAGGTTATTTGCCATTTACATAGTGTCAGTAGTCCTAGTCTTTCATTTTTATTAGCATCTATTCATTATATAAACTAATAGGTTTTATTATAGCATTTCATACCTATGTATAATTTACTCTGATCCTCTTCAACTGCCTGTGGTCTATCCTGTTTGCCCTCCCACTGTTCCCCTCTTCTACCTCTAAGTCATCCTTTTACATGCATTGTATTTCATTGATTAATAATGTAAATTATCAGTATTCTTGCACACACACATATAAATACATAAATGTAACTTGCTGAATCTATTTACCATTGCTCTTATGTGTATGACTTAGGATTGAGCACGTGGGATTGGATAATTATACTGTAGTAAGCTCCATCCCAAGGAAAGACTGACTGTTCTCTGTGCAGTTATTAATTGCGTATATCTTTTCATTTTGTGATGGGGTCATGAGGAATTTTCTCCTTCCACATTGGTATGAGGAATTTTCTCCTTCCTCATTGGTATATGTTAACAGGTATTGTCATTGTGTAGGTCTTCTTTAGGTCACAACTTGATGAGATTTCATGGGTACAACCTCCTGCGCTATATACAAGACACAGTCTTATACAAGACAGTATGTTCTCTAGCTCTTACAATTATTTTGCGTATGACTTTTAATCTTCATTTCATATGTAACCAAAGTGTGACACAGCAGAGTTCGGGAGCCTACTCAAGCACATATAGCCAGCAAGTCATGAAGCTCAGAGTCAGATATGTCTTCATCCATGACAGAGTCCTGATTCTTGACACTTTGATGTAGTTTTCCTTACTGCCACTATATGGAATCTGGGTACACGACCCTCTCAGAGTGAAGCATATACAGGCTTCATAATCATTGCTTGAATATTCATTTACTGTGTATCTTTAAGAGAGAAATGGACACTCTCTGAGCCTTAGCTTTCTCACTGCTAAACATGGGATCTTGACACTTACCTCACTGAATCTTACACATGGATGAGAAGACTTAATTGTATCTA